TACAGGTGGACCCATTGCAATAATGAGACGTACAAGTTGTTATGTCGAAAACAAACTTTACAACTTTGGTGGAGGGGGAAGAGTTTTAAAAACATAGAATCCAAATGGGGAAAGTCTTTCTCGGAACCATATCAAAATAGAAGATTTTTTTTCAGAGATGGCAGCAGAAGCAGGGTCTCCCTCACAGTGGCGGGGTGCTGGGCTCTGGTCCCCCCCCCCACTTCTTCCCTGACACCTGCACTGGCTCCTGGCCTACAGGCAAATGGATGGGGACAAGTGGTCTGGCGCCGACACGGGCGGGTCCCCAACCCTCTCAGGCAGCGACGGGGCTTCGTTTGTTATTGGGCCCTGGCCCCTCCTCCTGGGAGCGGATGGTCAGCAGATTTTCATCGGAGAATGGATGAATCTGTCAACCCAGAAGCAGTGAACACCACATGAGCGTCGGGCGAACCTTCCTCTCTGAAACCATTTCTGTTTGTGTGAAGGGAATCGTAATGCTAACCTCATGGACGTGTGCAGGTTCTGGAATGGAAGGGAGCTGTGGGCCCGAGGCCTCCTCGGCGGGGGTGGGGCGTGGGGAGGGGATCTGCCGAGGCTGGCGTGGCCCGCGCCCTCCTACGCGGCAGCTTTCGCACCAGAGCTCAGACCCTAAGCAGACAGGTGAGCGCAGCTGGAGAATGTGTGCCAAGAACACACACCGTACAATGTCTTTGCTGGACGTCTATGAACGACGACACAGACCAGTCACAGATGCATCTGGAAAGACCCAAAGGAGCAGAAAGGAGAGCGTGTGACCAGTTGGCGAAGGCAGTGGCAGGTGGTTCAGCACAGCGGTGAGACATGCCAGGCAGTGTGGCAGACAGCTAGCGGAGGACGGGATCAGCATAGATGCATATCACACACACACACACACACACACACACACACACACACACACACACACACACACACACACACACACACACACACACACACAAAGACGTTGTATTTCGGCAGCTCCAGCCTAGGCCAAGCTCTGCCTTGTGAGTCCTGCCCAGCTGTTGAACCTCCAGCCTCCCAGCCCAGAACTTCAGCTTGCTTCCCAACAAGCTCGTTGGAAAGGGAGTGCGGAGGCCAGCCAGGCACTCGCGGAGCTGCCTCTTTTCGCCAGAAGACAGCACTCCTCCCTCATAGAAGCTGGGGAACCCTGCACCGTTACAAATGCAGAGAACCTAAGAGCAGCGGAAAACCTACCAACCGCAGAGGCCCTACCAAAAATCAATGAGCTAGACTGGACATGCAAGCCGGCTGGCTCAGCAGCAATGCCGTGCCTGTGTCAGAAACCGATTCCCCAGCACATGTCAGAGTTGACAGCTTCACTATCCATCAAGACCCAGTCAGGTGCCAGCACCTTCTGGGCAGTTGGCCAATTACCCCTAAACAGACAGAAAGGCTTTGGGTGTAAGCTGGGGTGTAAGACTTTTTTATAAGGCCAAACATTTTTGAAACCATCTCAGAGTTCACCACCAGAACAAATACCAAATTATCTTGCATTCGTTTAGCTGGTGCCAGCAGTTCATGCCTGGAATCCCAGATGCTTGGGAGGGATCGTGGTTCTAAGCCAACGCAGGCAAAAAGTTCACAAAACCCCATCTCACACATAGCTGGGCATGGTGGCACATGCCTGTCATCCCAACTATGAAGGAGGATGCGATTGGAAAGATCACAGTTCTAGGAAAGTCTGTGCAAAAAACAACAATAATGAGGCCCTATCTTAACAGAAAAGGCCAGGCTGGATGGCATGTGCCTGTCACCACAGTTACAGTGGGAAGTCTAAACAGGAAATCACTAGGATTTCACTGGTGGACACCAGTCTGGGATGTCCAGTGCTCCCGATGTCCACGGCTGGCAGGATGGCAAGCCGGGGGACCACTAGGAGGGCAGCGTTTGGGGAGAGACACATCTTTAACCTGGCAACGTTGTAACCAGAAAACTGGGACAGTCAAAAAATCAAACCTTGTGTCAGAAGATGCCCACTGGAAATAGTCAGATCTGATCATGGTTGGATACACTGTGGCTGTGCACGCGGGGACTAGCAGGCACTGTCTGTGGGCTGCTCTCGCGTCTGGAGAGGGCCCTGGGCCTGGGCAGGGCTCCCCTGAGACGCAGCTGCCCGCCGCTGGCTCTCCAAAAGGCCTATTGGGTCTGAACGTTAGTATTGTTTTCTGAAGCCGCACACTGCTTCAGGATAGATGCGCTAACAGAGCCTCTGGCAGCAGCCCGGCGGGCCTGGGAGCTGTCCATGGGTCACCGACCTCTACCAACTGACACACAGAAGAAAAGAACCCCTATGAGGCACCCCCTGCCAGCTGTCTCCGGGGAGTCCCTGGCAGGAGGGCGGAGGGCAGCGGCGCTCCCTCGGAGGGGGCCTGGTCCCCGTGACTCTCGTGATGTCGGAATCCAAGCTCTATTCGATTGCACCGGGTGTTTGCAGAGCCCCGCTCCTTCTTTGTGCAGCTGGGGGCTCTGTCCAAACCTTACTACGATGACCACAGTGGCCATCCTTTACAAGACCTGCCGTTCCACCCCTCTATCCAGCGCGCCTCACGGTGTGTGAACACTTCCCACCCACGGTTCTGCTGCCTGAGCCACTGAGGCACTGGCCTCGTGCTGAGGTGAGTTCTCAGGTTTCCAGTGCCTGGGAAACCCAAACGGCCGCCCTTCCTCCCCAGCACGCAAATGCCCCTCGACCACCCTCTCCGCTCTCCAGGAACAGAGACATGGAAGATGGCAGCCCGGGCCAACGCTGGCTCCCAGGCAGAGGGAAGCACAGCACCTCTGCCGTCCACACTCCACGGGGCAGGCCCTCTGCAGAGCCGTCCCCGCGGGGAGCGGAGGGGCAGCCGGCGCTATTCCTCTGAGGCTGGGTCAGGAAGGAGGCCACCTGCTGCCGGGGCCCCAGGGTAGGTCTGAGGAGGCGTGCAGAGTACGCGGTGCAGACTAATGGGGACCCCTTCCAGGGCTCTTGGCACCGAAGTGGTAGACTTGACTCTGAGAACTGAGGAGTAACAGAAATAGCTGCATGAAAGGCTCTGAGTTTCTTAAAACACAAGTGATCATAACGAATCTTCACCAGCGGCCAGGAGGGATTTATGGTTTCCCAGACGCATTTACAGGCATCTTCTCGGGGCCGCACTGCAAGGCACTGGCGGGGCAGGGGTGTCCATGCCATCGTGTCCACGGGAGACCCAGCATGCAGCAGAACCCAAAACCAGCCCAGGCCCACCCACTCTACCACCTGTCCCAACACGCCCACCAAGCCAGCGAGTAAGTGGGTGTCAGGGCCAATGGCTGCCACCGGCATGGCATGCACCAGCCCCACCTGAGCTTCCTACAGGAAAGACAGAACTCAGGAAGACGCAGCCGGCGGGAATGGCAGGGGCTTCCGGGTCCCTGGAGGACGTCCCTGCGGGTGACCTGCCAGTCACTTCTCCAGCTGGCATGACTGTCTCCCTTTCATCACTGAGGAACTCAGACTCAGAGAGGTTAAAGGACATGTCAAAGATCACACAGCTGGCACCTGACACAGGGGTGCCTTATCTAGAAAGGCCACAGGGCAAAACTATCTATAAAAGAACATCCTGAAACTTCTGCAAAAGATGAATTGAGAAAGAGCAGGACAGGAATGACACAGCCTTCTGGTGTCTTGGCAGGTTCACGTCCAGCTGTGTCTGCCAGCTCCCGCTGCTCTGCACCAAGAGGTATCTCGGGGCCACCCAGCCCTGACTAACCTGCACACTTCTCCCGAATTTCTTGACTATGATATACCTGTAAGGAGGGTTCTTAGAACACCTCAGGGAGGGGAGATGAACAGGAAGGACCCTCATTATTGTTGACTATTTAACCTCCCCTGCGTCCGAACCCTTCCAGCCCAGCTGTGACCAGGCCGGCTGCTGGCAGCCCAGCTGGCTTGCCACAGGCTTCCCTACTTGGAAGTAGCCGCGATCATCTTCAAGACTGTGGAGGGGAGCAGATGGTACATCTCACGGGAACAGGTCCGTCATGGGAGCTCGCTCCCTCTTCCCAGGCCCGTGCCTGCCAGTTCCAGACCCCCTACCACATAGCAACCCAGTAACACCACACGGCGTCCAGTCCCTCAGTTGCCAGGACAGCTCTGACGCTGTGTAGTCTTGCAGGGAACTGGCTCCCAGGTCTCTGCTTCCTCCCCACCTTAGGTCACTCTGCTGTAGGCCCCTGTCACGCATATGCTGGTGGCGTGCTCGCTGGCCTCATGAATGGCATACTTCCCTGCCAGGGGGAGGAGGTGTGGCCTCCCGTGGCTGGAGGTTAGGTCAGGGCTGGTTCTCTGGGGGCCTGTCCTGTGGTCAAGAGAGTCCAGATAACTGACGCTCCTCCATGGCCAGAGTCTAGTGGAAGTAGCAGGTTGCTCTCAGGTAACCAGGGTACAGGACATTTCGAGCTAGACAAGTCTCTAGGCATTGGGGGAAGCCATGAACCGCTCTACAGAAACAGCCCTGTTTGCATTCCTGCTGGGCCAGAGAGGAGGACAGGACTCCAGGGAAGGGACCTAGAACATTCATGTGACACACTTACGTGCCATCCAGGGGGCCAGGACCAGGTGGCACCTTCTGCCCAGCCGCAGAGCCCTCCTGTGAGGAATGGGGGGGCAGAGGAGAGGCACTCCGCAGGACGGGCACACGGGGGACGGGAGGGCTCCTCCTGGGTGGAGGAGGGGCGTAGCAGTTTCTTAAGTAGAGGAGGAAGAGGAAGAAACTGACTGTTAGCCGCCGATCCCACGTAGACGATCTGATGTAAAAACGTTCAGGGCACGGTGAAGACTCTCACTCTACAGAAACACTGTGTCTCTCCCTAGGTGAGCTATGCAGAGTCACTCTTTGGTAAAGCATGGATGAGCTCATTTCTGCAAGGACGCAAGCCAAGCTTCGGGCTACCCCGCCCCCGACTCCCTGAGCTTCCACATACGGAGGGAAAGTACTCACCCCACTGCAGAGGGGCCAGCTGCAGGTGCTCCACGACCAGCTGGTTCAGGAGGCCCTCCACGCTTGCCTCGCCGCCACGCTTCAGGGACGGGTGCGCCTTGGTCAAGGAAAGCATAGGTTCTGACCAGCTCGGAAAATTCTAGAACCAGCCCCCCTAGAGGACAAACCTACTGTAGCACACATGTCTCCACTCTGCTCAACCACATGCTACCCTGAGAACCTGGGACTGATGCAGAGAAACAGCAGGCAAGCGTGTCTCTTCCTCCACCCGAAGTCGCGCAACCGTTACACAGGGAAGGGAAGGGCACCGGGATCATTCAATCCAACAACTACTCTTGGAGGGGGAAACAGAGAAAGTTATTTTGCCTTAACAATACATGCAAACTGTGATCGCTGCTCAATATGACCATGTGTTTCTCAACATGTACTGGGTTCATGCTGGCTTCATGTGTGGCACATTAGATGTCTTGATGTGATTATATGTATTATTGTGAACAGTCATACATCTCGATGTAATTACATATATTATTGTGAACAGGCTCACTTAAGCAAGTTCATGATTGAGGAAGTAATAAAGTCTCTCAGCGAGTAACCGTGGATGGAGAAATTCAGCTTAGAAATGTAGACAGAAAGCATCTCCCAGGCACCGCTATTAACCAGCTGGTGGTGCGCTCAGAAAACAGTCGATAAGCCTCCTGCCCTTTCCCCTCGAAATTAAATACATATGTTATAATCAAAGTAGAACATTTTAGTTTCTTATGTTTTCCAGAGATGCAAAGTGGAGGAAAAGCCCACTCTCTCCGTCGGTGTGGGGCTAGTTCTCCACACATCCAGTGCATCGGGACGAGGGAGGCCTGCAACGGAGCACGGAGGACAGAGGGGCTGGCCCCCGGCCAAGCCTTGAGGTCGAGAGGCTCACGTGCTGGCAAAGAAAGCAATGAAGAAATGGAAAGGGACACCCGTTGAGTCTGGGACTGCTATGTGGGAGGCAGAGGCTAGGTGAGGCAGAGACTGGAGTGGAGCCAGAGAAGTCAGGACGGGCCTCGCCAGTCTGAAGGAGGAGGACGCGAGAAAGCAGAGCACCCATCCATTGTGGTTTAAAAAGATGCACATTTTTGTCTTCTCTCTCTCTCTCTCTCTCCTTTCTCTTTCTTTCTTTTTTTCTTTCTTCCTTTCTTTCTGCTTTCCTTTCTAATTGTAGGCTGTAGGAAATTAAAATCTCCCGATGCAGCACATTCCTCTCTTACAAACATTGTAGGCTCTTGGGGTAGATGGTTTCTGAGGCACAGAGTAGATCCCACCCAACCAAGGACGGGGGCTCAGAAACTGAAGCCGAGGAGCAAGGTGGCATATGGGAAATTACAGTGTTTCCGTTGGCACTGGCTCTGGAAGCCCTTCCAATAGCACCAGTCTGTGCTAATACAGCCAATTTCCCTCACGCAGCCTCCTCCCGTGCACCTCTATGAAGCACTAAGCAGGCACAGGGCCCGTGCCCATAAATGGCCAGGCCAGCTGACAGGCGGCCACTGTCACAGCTCGTGACACAGCGCCACACTGATGAGGATGGTGTTGACTACTTCTTAAATGCACACACTTGACCTCTGTGGCCAAAGGTAGATAAATAATGGGAATGGTGACAGGAATTCCTGTCACTCCTGTCACTGCAGAGAAGGTGCCTGTCCACCGGGGAGAGGCCAGGGCTCAGAGTCTAACATGCATCTCCCAACTTGACACCATTTTCAAATTGAGATTTCAGAGCATGCTAGGTATGAGACAGCTAGTATAACATCCACTCACAGGCTTTCAGACAAAGGAAAAATAACTCAGGCCTCTAGAGGGATAGGAAAGCTGCCAGTGCCCACAAGTGGAGGCTGGGCACAGGCACCCAAGGGCTTCTGAACTGCCATCTCTCACAGTAAACCTGAACCCAGTGCCATGGCCAGCATCTGACAGCCAGCCCTGGGCTGCAGGCAGGGCTGGGCCTGGGAGGGTTCTGAGATTGCTTCTTCCCAGCCCAGCTTCAAGCCTCTGGTGAGCTCTCCATGGTTTTGAAGAGTCACAGCCTCCCCCTTCCCCCCCCCCCAATCACCTTTCCCAATCCCCCATGGGCTGTCCTCTCTGGGACTGTGCTGGTGCAGAGACACTGACAGGCACAGCAGAGGGCTGAAATCACTTCTGGTGCCAGCACAGGTTTATGCAAATATCCCCAAGCCACACCATTGTTGAGCTGGGCATCCTGGGTGCCAGACCTGAGAAATCTGGAGTCCCAGATCACTTTCTCTTCTCCAGGGGTCATGTCGGATGCCCTTGCATAGAAGAACAAACCCTGGAGCTGGCCACCCTCTACTTTGGTGACCTGTTCCTTGTACTTCCTGCTGGCCACAGGGACTTGAAGGCAGTGAACCGAGAGGCCTGGCCTAGCTGCTCAGCATAGCCTTCCCCTGTCCTCTTCATCCAATCAGCAAGGTCAGTGCACACCACTGACAGCTGCTAAGCTGCGGCACTCCCGTGGGAACATACTACCTCTACAGAATAAGAACCACAGCCAATAAGGAAAGGGCTCAGAGGACTGCTTCTGGTTCTTCATCCTGGAAAAGCGCAGAGTAGTGTCCCATGTCACTAGCCCTATGCCCAGCATGCAAGAGGGGCTCAATAAGCACCTGCTGTTTTGTTTTTTACTGAGCAACTAGCATGTGCTAGTCATGCTGAGTTATCTCATAATGTAAGGTCAGGAAGCCATCAGGGGATGGTAAGGAACATTCCCAAGCAGATCCCTCCCAGGAAGCCTGCTGCCTGGCACCATCGGGGCACCACGGCCGTGGGTCAGGAGCACACCTCCAAATAACTAGAGATTTTTTGGGCTTTTGTGGAACCTTAGAAACTGCTCACATTAAGTCTTGATGAGGACTGTGCCCCATAGGAAGGAACACATGAAGCTCTCCCTCTAGGAGGGTTGTGGGGACACAGGTCTGTCTGGAATTCTGGCTGGAGCCCATGAATGGCGTGGATTAGGATGCTGTGAACTCCAGGAATGGGCAGAGAGAGAGAGAGAGAGAGAGAGAGAGAGAGAGAGAGAGAGAGAGCGCAAAGGGCTATTCTTGTAATGGGAATGACAAGTCTGTCAGGTAAAGATCCGAAACACCCCACCCCCCAGCACCCCCAGCTCTGGGGGTCTGCTTTGTACCCCCAGCAATCCCAGCTGCCTTGGGTCCAGGTATCTACTGCCATGACTGAGTCCCAAACCAGGCCCGTGATCACGAAGGTGCCTGTCCCCCTAATTCAGGCCCCTCAGGGTGGGTGGGCCACACACATTTTTTTCAGAAAGGCTCCAGAAGGAATGGTGCAGGCTGTGCTATACAGATACACACCTGGCCCCACCCCCACCACACATCAGGGGGAGAGAATACAGCTCCTGAGTGGCAGGGGGAAACTGAGGCCTCTATAAGTTGCCCTTGTCACAGTAAACAGAGGAAATGGGGAGGGGAATCTGGAGGGATCCTGTCTCCATGACTTTCTTGGGCTTAAAATCTGACTAAAAGAGAGGGATACACATTTAAAACAGAACCAAACTCGAGGGCGCCTACATGGATGTACTCAGGGAATTCCTGTGCTCCGAGAGGCCTCACTCTCCACGCCTTCACACACTGTAGGGCTCAGAGGGCCACTGCTGACCTGCTCTTCCCTAGTAGGAAAACCTACAGCCCATCCAGACCGTTCTCACGCTGGCCACCCCTTCAACGCACAGGAGGCCGAGGAGGACATGCACTGGTCTAGCTCTTCCTTAATACCCTTAGGTCTGGTTCCCAGAGGCTGGCAGCACAAAACCCCCAAGGCAGGATCCGCAGTGTCCTGGACATGCCCAGTGAGGAGCAGGGGCGACGCCCAGACCACTTCCTTACTCAGCCAGCGCTGCTTCTTACAAGGAGGCTTATCGCACTGCTCTACTGCTCAGCATCCATGGCCACGTCACTCAGGACAGAGGCCCCGGCTCCATCGCACCTGGCACACACATGAACCTCACCACCGCCTGCGTTCTGTTCAGAGCCCTCGTGCCTTTCTCTGTGTGCCAGTCGCATCCAGCCTGCCTACTGCTGCTCTCTTCTGCTCAGTACTCTTGGTTCTATCTTTCTGCTGTGCACACGCTGCCTTTCAGTGCAGCTTCATCTAGGATAACCCCTCGGATCCACCCCCATGCTAGAACCCGCCCCTTCCTTCCTCTCTTTCCTCATCATGTTTGCAAAGCACCCATTCTGCCCCTAGCATGCAGCCCCACACACACGTGCCTGTGTGTGCCTGACCTGCACCGGTGCTTATGAGCACCTGCTATGCTTACTAGGAATGAAAGGCCAATAAGACTCCCCTACTTTTGAGGAACCCATTCATGTGTGCAAGGTAATATCCTCTTTACTGTTATTAGTCATCCATCATTATTTACTACATATAATTGATGAATACTGTGCAGAGCCTTAGGGAGGGGCGGGGTCTCTCCACATAGCCCAGTTACTTCTGACAGTGCTGGGTGGCTCTTGAAGGATTCTGAGCCTTAGCTGGCCTCGAACTCACTCTGTAGCCCAGACTGGCCTCACACTTGAATCCCTTCTACTTTGCCCCCCCCCACCAAGTGCTAAGATTACAGGTATGTGCTCTCCTGTAAGGCAGACAGCTTTTATTTCACAATCATTTTCTTGCATATCATCTCAATTAATCTGAGGAGCCATGAATGTTTGCTTCTAAAGCTTTGAAAAGCACAGCCAGATACAAAGAAAAGCAGAAGGCAAATACCATTCCATCTCTCCCTGGCCTTTAGGCACCAGCAGCAAAGCATTTGGTAATATATCACACACATTAGGAACCACCCAGTAGCATTTGGACTCTGTCTATATTCGTGGCTTAAGTTTAACACGACTTAGTTTGATATTCTAGGTCTGATTGCTTAATCCATGCTGCCCTCGGGGAACAGGAAGCATCGTGGGAACTTTTGAGGGTAGCTTTTGAACCCACAGAAGGAGGTGTGCTCATGTCCTCTCCAGGAAATAGCACCTGCCTTTCTTGGAGTGCCTAGGTAGCACCTAGGATCTGCAGAGCAAAAGT